CCCCCCCCCCCCCCCGCCACCTTCCGACGTCGCCACCACCTATGGAGGCGTGTGCCCCTCTCTCTCTCTCCTGCTATTCATGCCGGGTGAAACACGCATGCAACCGAATACCGGCAACGCGAGGGTGATCGGTGGAGTGGGCGGTAGGGGATTCCGCGCACGGGCTGCTGCTGTAAACACACATTCAAAGCGAGATCTTTTTACTGATCATTTATTATTTTCTCGCCCGCTGCACCGTTCGACACACACTTGACCACCAATAATCAAGAGCCAACATCCTACCGGACACGCCTGCGCCGTGCAGAAAAACAAGCTGGCGCGCGCCGCGGCGCGCGGTGGCTCCGACAGCAGAGGCTTACTGCTCAAAACATGCGGGATGCCGAGACGAACAAGGGCCGAGACACTGACCTGTGCTGCTGCTCTTTGTTGCATACCAAATGTTTCTTGAGTCTTTTTGGTCGTGTGTGAGCACGTGCTACCGGAAAGCAAGATACAGCAGCGCATCTACCCTCTTCGCTGTTCGGCGCGACGTCGTCGGCGAAGCAAAGTGGGAGGGCGCCTCAAAGAGAGACACGGCCCTCTTGCCCCGCGGCTCACGCTGTGCATCTCAAAGCAGGGAACTGAGATGTTGCAAAACGAAGGAGAATCAGACACGCAGGTGTGCGCAGCTTGCTAGAACAAGAACGGAGGTCTCGCGCTAGCTACTTCCTAGGCCGTCCTTGTGCCCTGTGTGCTTACCATCATCACCGAGAACCGGCAAGACCGAGCCTGCACCGCCGACACCCAACGCGCTAGGCTCGCGTCTGCTGCTGCTGCTGCTGCTGCTGTTGCTGCACTCGCTAGCTAGTAAATTTCAAACGGAGAACCTCTGCCCGATCACACACAATCTACCAATCCAGCAGCATCACAACTCCTCCTCACCTCCTTCGTCCACGCCGGAAGCTCAGCAACTCCCAGCAGCAGCAACGATGCTGCTGCAGCTGTCGTGCGGCCGCGAAGAGAGCAAAACTTTGCAGCGGCAGCGGCAGCGGCGGTAATTTCTAGCTGGTCAGCGAGAGATGCGAGCGGATCAAAGCTCCCTGAGTTCGTCTCCTGCTGCAAGAGGGCCGCTGAGATTTGTCCTTAATGGACGACGCCGAGTGAAACCCTCCTATTTCACACTCCCTGTCTTATCCTAACACTAGCTCTCTCACTCTTACCCTCGAGAGGTATCGTATGCATGCAGTCATGAGTCCCCCACATACCGGAGTGCAGATCTCCTCTGGGGTTTCTTATGAATGCAAGAGGCGTTGTATTTCGCGCCCTACCGACGTGCCTGCCTGCCTGCGGGCCGAGTTCGCCAGAGCAAGCGAGTCGAAGCTCCCGCTTTCTCGCCGCTGACCTCTCCGTTGAATAGCGTTGCAAACGCCACAGTCCTGCACATTCTGCCTAACGATTTACTCTGTATCAGGATCAAGCAACTGCGTGTGATTCCCTATCGAGTTCAGTTAGAGCTCAAAGCTTGCAAGCGCGACTCGCACTTGTTGTGCTGCTGATCCGGAGCCAGGAGGGGTGTTGCTCACTGCCCCAACTGCCTGCTGCGTAATCTAGCCCCGAGGAGCTCGGCGAGTGCCAAAGATGGAGCGCTTCCAGCAGCTTTTCAACATGCAGGGGAGAGGTCAGGGGGGGGGTGCACCGGATGGACCGGTTGTCGACACATCAGAGAAGCTTCACATATCTTCGTTGGCGCTGCTCAAGATGCTCAAGCACGGTGAGGTTTGTTGCCCTCGAACAACCGCCGTGTACATGGATAGGATAGGGTTGATTGTGGGTTGCTCTGCTGTGTTTACGAACAAGAGGGTTGGAAGACAGCAGTTTAGTGGGCTACTGCTGTGTTGGTATTGTCCCCACAGGAAAACATGTTGTCCTCAGCTTGCAATCGATGTGCGGCGTAGTGTTGTGGGGCTCAACATGCCTTTGTTTGCCCGGAACATCTCGGTGTTGTGCCCGCTCCTTCTTCTCTTCGTTTTTTCTTTTTCAAGTGTAATCCAACCGCCCTCTCACCGTTACGCCCGTCCATTCCTCACCCTCTTGCGACCTTCGCCTGCTTGGTGGGGATGCTTCAGTTGATGGGCCAAACGACAACCCGCCCTACAGCCGTAATATGTTTTGAAGCAAACACCACCTCCCACCTTGCACTGAATATGACCGAGGGTGTTATCTCGCATCATGGTACGCGTGTCCGCATGCAACTGGAAAGAACGTCCGATACGCTTACCTGAGCCATCTATGTGAATGCGTGGGACCGCCGACTTCAGCGCAGCTCTTCCTTCACACACTCTACTCGTCACCGTTTCGATTTGAACGCCTGGGGTCTGTACATGTAGCTCAAAATTTTGCGATGCGACGTAACAGAAGCGTTCAAACATCGGACCGCACAGGCAGGAGTTCCTCGCTGAACTCGATGAAGAAACAACAGTGGTTTCGAAATCGCGAACGGCAAATCTGAAGTCAATCACAAGGGATACCATCCCAACTTTGTCCATTCGCGAATTACGTCGGACGCCATTAGACTTCGGGAAACCAATGTAGGCAAGCGTTTCACGGCTCGCCGAAGAAGAGATGTGGACAACTCCACCGCCCCCTCAAAAACCGCGCGACAATGCTGCACATAGTACTGGTATATCGCTGATGGCTGGGAAAATCCACTTTTCTCTCTTCTAGCTCACACCTTGTCTGAAATATTGCTCTCTTTAACCGTGGCCGGCGCTCTTGTTGCTACAAAACGCTGCTGCTGTCGCGACGCCGAACGACAACGATCAACACGCAGGACGAGCGGGCGTGCCGATGGAGGTGATGGGGCTGATGCTTGGGCACTTCGTGGACGACTACACGGTAAACTGCATCGACGTGTTCGCGATGCCGCAGTCGGGGACCGGGGTGAGCGTCGAGGCCGTGGACCCAGTGTTCCAGACCAAGATGCTCGACATGCTCAAGCAGACAGGGCGGCCGGAGGTACCTACCTAACCTGTCCTGTTCTCGATGGGCTAATTTGTCTTCCATTTTTGTTTTTTTTTCCACACTCACACCGAGGTTACAACTTACCGACGTAACCCTTTATATTCGTTGGCCGAAATTGTCTTCATTTTTTTTGTTTTCACTTCCCACCTAACGTTGTTTTGAGGCCGAGTCTTCTTGCGTTGCCTTCTCAGCATTCCTTGTTTTTTTTAGAGCCGGCCCCGACACCGGAGCAGGTGCCACGCGTCCATCAGCGTCTATCTGTCCATCCCTCACCCTTGTGTTGACTCCCCCTCCTCCATTCCCCTACGTCTGCCCTCCCATCCGCCGTTTCGCGCTATTACTGGGCGAAGATGGTTGTGGGATGGTATCACTCGCACCCCGGCTTCGGGTGCTGGTTGTCTGGGGTGGACATCAACACGCAGCAGAGCTTTGAGCAGCTCAACGCCCGAGCTGTGTCGATCGTGGTAGATCCCATCCAGTCCGTCAAGGGGAAGGTGAACAGGCGTTTTTTTTTTTTGCTCTCATGTTGGGGGTAGTCTCATCACTGTTTTTTTTGTTTTAATGGCAGTGATGCTGGTTTTGTTTGGAGTCCTTAGGGATTCTTGTTGCTGTTTGGGGTGCCCCTTTGTGTTGTGTTTTGTCTGATTTTGTTTCCCTGCCGATCTCTCCTCGGCTTGCTATTTGCTGATTGTCTTGTTGACGATTTTGCTTCGTCTGCACCACACGCAGTTGGCACCAGCAACACAGCACCGCCCAGCGGGCCGTCGTTCATTTCGCGGGCCCGATACATAACCTTGAGGGGCTAGGTGGTCACGCAGCGCGATTGCTCCTTGCACTGTAGTGTGTCCGCGCACAATGTGGTTCGGAAGTTCCTGTTGCTGCCATCTGCAGTCAGTGGTAGACCACAATCTCAAGTACCCGGAAACTTCCTTGCCCCTTCCCTCTCCCCGTAGTAGGTGGTGGGTTCTTGTCGCTGGTACATAGACTTCTTGATCGATTCTATTTACCGTGTGAGTTTGTGTGGGGTATTCGATTTTTATGTTGTCGATGGCTTCGGATTTTCCCCTCTTCAACCCCGCCCCCCCCCCCCCCCCCCCCCCCNACCCCCCCCCCCCCCCCCACGCGTGCGCGCGCTTTTGTCCGCTTACCCGCGGCCGGCCCAGGTTGTGATCGATGCGTTCCGGCTGATCAACCCGCAACTCATGATGCTTGGGCAGGAGCCGCGACAGACAACGTCCAACGTGGGACATCTGAACAAGCCGTCCGTACAGGTAGTTTAGCGCTTCGTTTCTGTCATGAAAATCCATTTAGAGCAAAACACAACAATACCGGGCAGGTGATTTTGTTTTTACTTGTTTTCTGCTGATTCTGTTCCTCGCGTTGTGCTGTCGCCTTTATACTATGTTTTTCTGCTTTGTCGCGGTTTTCTAGCGCCTTCACAAGTTCGGGCCAGTGCGCATGTTACTGCAAAGGTTGCTCAGCAGAGATCGGAACGGGTTTTACTTGGAAGACAACAACGACAATGAAGACATCCGCATCATCATCAACAATGACAATAGCAACGACGGCGTTCACGTCCTTTTCCCCGGCTTTGCCCTCTCACAGTCAACTGCCGCAGAGGGACAAGTTCCCTTCACCGTTTCGTCGTTGGCGAATGCCGTATCCTCCACCCTACTAGACCCCGTCTTCTCTTGCCGCGCTGCGGCTCCCACTACTGCTGCCGCCCTCTTTGCTGTGTCGACTGCCTTTCGTTTTTTGTTTTTGTTTTTTTGCGTGTTTCGTGTTGACGTGCTCGCTGCTGCCGTGTCCCCAGGCATTGATCCACGGGTTGCAACGACACTACTACAGCATCGTTATCGACTACCGCAAGAATGAGCTAGAAGAGCAGGTGCGGCGTTGGACAGGGAGCGCGTCCACCGCAGCCAGTGCAGTTTACTCTTCCTCAGTTTTTTGGTTGTTCCAATCCCCAGTGCGGTTTCTCGCTGGCTGATTGTTTTGGTTGTTTCATGCCCCAAACGGCTGCTGCCGCTGTTGTCGCGGGATGTCCTTGTGGCGTGCCAAGTATGGCGTTGATGGCGTGTGTCGATACGGACGGCGCTTGCACTTTTGTGTCTCGTTCGAGATGTACGCGCTCAAGCTGAGAAGCTCGCACGCCACCTGGTATTACGTTTGAGCGCGTCGAACCATGGGTGTGTCGACCGCGCTGCTGTACACCATGTGTACACGTGGCGATAGGTTCTGACTGCCCGAGCAGAGCACATTTCACCGATTGTCTACACTTGGTGGATGGTCAAACGTGTACCCCCTTGATAGGTCAAGCCCTTCGCGACTGTTTCGCAGTCTTGACGCAAAGCCCCACCCCCCCAACGCCGAATAGCGCCGCGTGCATGGTGTTGGCCCGCAAGGTTGTGACACCATCTCTGCTTTCACCGTGCTCCCCCTCGGCGTCAACGCGCGCCTCGCGAACGAAACAGATGCTCATGAACCTCAACCGAGAGCAGTGGACGCAGGGGTTGGTGATGAAGCGATTTGAGGACCACCAGACGTCAAACGAAAAAACAGTAGAGGTGAGTCAGGAGGTTTTTGTGTCGTCTCTCTCTCTCTCCCTCTCGCGACTCGTCTCTGGCGATGGCTTGGGTCGGTCTGAACTAACCTGGCAGTGCTTCACCACTCACAGTTTTTACGGATGCCGATCCTTTTAGGATTTTAGATGTGAAGCATGTACGGAAAATAACATTTGTGGAAGGGGGTGGGTGCATTGCTGTTGTTTTTTCTGTCTTTGTTCGCACGACATATGCGCTTCAACTGAGGAAACAAGCTGGTGCAGAATCTCAGCAAGGGATCCAGTCGCGTGCCCATTTAAACGCACACACAGACTGGTCTACCTTTCATCACCTTCCTGCCCTTGATGTGTGCTTGTGTTTTTTTTTTTTTTCGCGCATTCCGCCCCCGCCCGAATGGACCACGTCGTCGACGACAACGACAACGTCACACTACAGGCGATGCTCAAGCTCAGCAAGGAGTACAACGAGAGGGTGCAGGAGGAAGAAGGGAAGACGATCGACGAGCTGGCGGTGCTCAACGTCGGCAAGGTGGACCCAAAACGGCACTTGGAGAACGACGTGTCAGAACTGATGGCGGCCAACATCGTGCAGTCCTTGGGGGTAATGCTCGATACTGTCATCTTCTGATACTGCACATTCGTACGTGCCTTGTGGCGGGTGATGATGGGCGTCATTTCGACGGGCGAACGGGGGGGATACTGTGGAAAGCGGACGCGTAGAGTTTGTTTCTGGTGGGGCAGTCTGGTAGATGGTCGTGCTTGACTCGATTCGCATGGAACGTTGTCACGCGGAGACGCTTGTGGTTTTTGGGACTCGGCCCTCTTGAGTCTGGATATTTTAAGGTCCTTCCGGACCTTCCCGTGTCGTCTTGGCCTTGACTGTTGCTCTGGGGCGTTTGTTCTTCTGATGTGGAACCATTCTTCGCCGACTGGAGTTTCTTGCAGCGGCCACGGTCCCTTGGTATGCCTTGCCAAGGAATTGGCGGACCAACTGCTGTGGTGTGCATGCGCAACGGCACCAGGCTGTTGAGGATGAGAGTTCATTCTTCGTAATTCGAAGGCGGGAGTTCTCGTTGTTCTCCTTGCACACCGTCGTGCACAAGTCCGCACCCTCGAATCTGCTGTGCTTTTTCGTTTTATGCGTTGATGCTGCTGGGGAAGAATGACAGATGCCAAAATGGCTTTTCGTGTTGTGATGAACCCAAACGTAACCTGAGCTTGCTGACCCTGCTGTATCTATTCTCAAGCCCCCTAGGGGATTTGAGTTGCAGTGCCCGCTTGCAGTAAACCCTCTGAAGCCACGCCTACGAAGCTAGAACTCCTTTGGACGCATTTTTGCGATACCCTTGATCTGCGCTGCAGCGTGCGCATTCTGCCCTGTTTGCACACCCGCGGGGCGGGTGCACAAGTTAACCCTGCAGGAAAATGTTTTACTGTACTTGTTCGGCAAAGGTGAAGACTAATAGAGGGTTGGTTGTGGTAGGGCTCGTGTGCGAAAACAGCTTGCGCATCCTCCCGATGTCTCGTGGACGTCCGTGAATGTGCAATGGAGCAACTACTGCTTGCTGTAGTTACATGACTGCAGTGTGACCCTGGATGGTTGTAGTTGTACGAAAGAATACACTGACAAGTGTAGTACTCTACATACGCTGAAAAGTGTAGTACACGTCTCACCACGAAAAAAAAATGTCGCCATTGTAAATAGGACGAAAACACACAGGTTTGCGCGGTCGATGCTAATAATAGAAACACACACACACAGCAGTATCGAGCGTTGAACGAGGCCCTGGAAACAACCCTGGACAGACAGAGACGGGATCTACAGAGTATATCCACGGAAAAAGAGTGCCTATTGTTGTTGCTTGGGGCTCCCGCTGAGGCACTTGAGGCTGTCTTCGTTTGATGGATGCTTGCTTCACACAGCCCATATTTGTTACGGCCATGACACCGAACCAACACAAGAATCTTCGTCAACTTTGTTGGCGACTGCTGCTTTTTTTTTGTCACCCGACCCACCTCTACCCGCACTTGCCGCAACCATCTCGCGCATAGCAGCACAAGTGTACTCTGTACAGCAGTTGTATGAGCGAGTGAGCGAACACCATGCTTGTTAGACTGCCAATTCTACCGTACACTCCTTTTGCTGCTGCCATGTTGCTTTTCAGCAGCTCGCCGGTGGATCCGTGAGCGCTACTGCTGTAGGCTCTGTCTGCTTCTGTGTACATCGAGACTGCAGGCAGAAAGTCTGCAGTTCTGATCCGATCTTCTGTGCGCAGGGAAAAACAAAACAAATTCCCCGAGAGGAGACGTACGGTAAGTCTGTGTGATGTTGCCCCGAACGGGAATCGGCACAAAAGCGTAATATCGACCCGCCAAAAACTCCCGGTCGGCTCTCGGCATGTTGCTGCGCTCAACTTCGAACTCTCTCACGCAGCACCTGCCCTCACAACACAGGTGGGCGTGCAAGATTCTCCAGTAAGACGCCATCAACCACACAGCCATGCTCCGCGTTGAAGGCCGGCGCTTTGTCTCGTCTCTGACCAACTCAGGTTCGAGTTGTTTGGTGTGCAGCGGCGGCGGTCTTGAGTGTTGGCCATCTGACGGCCATCTAGTCTATAGAATGCGGCGTGGAGATAACCGTTTGGGCTTTCAGAGCCGCGCGTGAGATATTCTCAGCAGCTAGTAACCACCCTGCTGCACTCCTGCTGCTGCCCGAGCATGCTAAAATTGTTTGTCCTCCAGCGTTACCGGCCCAGTCGTAGCGCCTTTGCGCAGCTCTTCTTCCGTCTACCGCGGTCTCAAGTACAACGAGCTCCTCGCCCACGCATACGCACAGGCCGCTCGCTCCCTACTCCCGGATTTTGCTTCGCGCAGGGTTCGGACCGTTGCGACGGCTTCGACAGAATCATGCTGCCGCCGCACTTGCTGGAAACGGTGCCCTGCTCGCCAATGGCCCCATTCGCCAAGGCGGCGCGAGGACGGCGGTTGCCCTAAGAAGAGTGACGCCTACAGCAGCAGTGGTACGAGCAACTAGACAGGTGAGAGAGGTTGAGTGCACAACCAACGCACACAAACGTGTGTTGTGCATGCGTGCATGGATCCTGACAAACAAGATGTTCCTTCAACCATTATTGTCTCGATCTCCACTGCTGAATGTCCGTAAGTACACATATATCGGTCCAAAGCACGGGCTGTTATGGAAGTATGACATCTACGTACGTAGGCGTGCTTACATCTGAATCATCAAACGGCCGAGGCATGTTTTTTTGTTCTACCATCATCGTCCCCACCTTTCTAGACGTAAGTGGGTTGGCGTTGTTGGCAAAGCGCTGTAAAAAACGCCACCTCAAATAAAGCCCCCAAGTATGCGCTACCAACGACGCTTTGACGCATGGACGAGTGGAGTGAGGAACGCTGTTTTCGGAAACCTGATGCAGATTGCCGGACACATATCTAGACGTGTTGAGCGATTAGATAAACAGCTGTATACTAAACCTCAAGGGTTTGAGATTGCCAGACACGTGGACGGGTTGAGTGGGGATAGCTGCATACTGAAACCTCACAGATGGATTGGTTTTTGAGTTTTCCCGACACACAGACGCGCTGAGTGGGGATAGCTACGTAGNCTGCATACTGAAACCCCACGGGTTGAGTGATGTTGGAATGCCGGACACATGGGGCGCGTTGAGTGAGGGTAGACACGTACTGAACCTCACAGGTGATTTGTGATGATGGAGATTGCCGGACACATAGACGTGTTGAGTCAGGATAGCTGCATACTGAAACCTCACAGATGGATTGGTTTTTGAGTTTGCCAGACACATAGACGCGCTGAGTGGGGATAGCTACATACTGAAACCTCACGAGTTGAGTGATGTTGGATAGTGCCGGACACATTGACGCTTTGAGTCAGGAAAGACACATACTGAAACCTCACAGGTTGATTTGTATTGGAGATTGCCGGACACATAGACGTGTTGAGTGAGGAAAGGCACATACTGAAACCTCACAGGTGATTTGCATTGGAGATTGCCGGACACCTCGACGGGTTGAGTGAAGATGGCTGCATACTGAAACCTCACACATGGATTGGTTTTTGAGTTTGCCAGACACATAGACCTGCCGAGTGGGGATAGCTACATATGAAACCTCACGAGTTGAGTAATTTATGATTGTGCCGGACATAGACGCTTTGAGTGAGGAAAGGCACATACTGAAACCTCACAGGTGATTTGCATTGGAGATTGCCGGACACCTCGACGTGTTGAGTAAGGATAGCTGCATACTGAAGCCTCACAGATGGATATGGTTTTTGAGTTTTTCAGACACAGACAGACGCGCTGAGTGGGGATAGCCACATAAGAAACCTCACGAGTTGAGTGATGTTGGATAGTGCCGGACA